GGGTTTGCAGCCAAGAGCTTTAACTTCACCTAGCAACTCCATGGGAGCTCTGGTAGCATAGTGCCTAAGGCACTTGACTGCTCACCAGAAGGATGGCGGTTCAAACCCACCAGCCACTCCTCGGAAGGAAGGATGGGCAATCCTACTTCCGTAGTGATATTGCCTCGGAAACCCAAGGAGGGGTCACTATGAGTCGGGCCGACTCGACGGCAAATAACAACAACAACAGCAACTCCATAGCTGGGTTCAGTTACTAAAAATTCTGAGTCTTATTTTCCACTTGAGATGTACTGATTCAGAAACATCCTAATTTTAGCTGTTTTAATAAAGAAACACTGTGCATAATTTAAAACCATGTCTCCTTATTTATGGCAGGGGTGGAAGAGTGACTTTCAAATTGATTAGGAATCAAGTAAAAATGATTAAGCATTTTGCAAATAGGAATTTCTCAAATATAACACAAAGGTGGCAGTGTTGCACTGAGGAATGAAGAAGGGATTGAAGTTCAGGAGAACTCTGAGGCTAGTCTTCAACAGACTATTTAATAGACTAGCCTCACAGTTATCCTGAATTTTAGCCAATCAACATCCCTGGAAGTAGCAGTCAAGAAATCAAATAATGTATTGCACTGGGCAAATCTGCTGTAAAAGACCTCTTGAAAATGGTGTCACTTTGAGGAGTTAGGTGAGGTGTACCTGGTTATTTCACTTGCCTCATATGCATGGAAAAGCTGGACAATGAGTAAGCACAATAGAAGAATTGCTGTCTTTGGATTTTGGTGTGGTGAAGAATAATGAATATACCATGCATTGCCAGAAGAACAAATGAGCTCTGTTAGCACAGTAGTTAAAGCATTCAGCTGCTAAACAAAAGGTTGTTGGTTTGAAGCCATCAGCTGTTCAGCAGGAGAAAGATGAGGCAGTCTGCTTTCATAAAGATTTATGTCGTTAGAACTCTGTCCCGTAGTAGAGTTGCTATGAGTTGGAATCGACTCAGTGGTGGAGGGTTTGGTTTTGGTTTGGCCAGAAGAACGAACAAATTTTTCTTAGAAGAAGTACAGCCAGAATGCTCCTTGAAAGTGAGACTTCATCTTATGTATTCTGGATATGTTATCAGGAGAGACCAGTCACTGGAAAAGGACATTATGCTGGTAAAGTAGAGAGTCGGCAAAAAAGAGGAAAATTCTCAATGAGATGGATTTACACAGTGGCTCCAACAATGGGCTCAAACAGCAGTGACTGTAAGGATGGCACACAAACACTGTTCCTTCTGTTGTACGTAGGGTTGCTGTGAGTTGGAACCAACTACACAGCACCTAACAGCAAGTCTTTACTAAGGCAACAACCATGTGCAATCTTTGCAAGCTAACCTCTCTGGCCCTCAATTGCTTGGATACAACCACTATTAAGTAGTAGTTAGTCTCTGAGGTCTTTTACTGCTGTGAACTTTAATGACTACAACATTCCTTCAAGCTCTTCTGAAAATAAACATAAAATTAGAAATTAAGACATAGATATGGTACAGCTAATTTAATCTTAGATTGCTCAGAAACAAACAGAGAAGGTAACTAAAACATGTGGAAAGGGAAGTTTCAAGGACTGCTAAAACATTTACTCAGTAAGGAACCAAATTTTTAAAAACTCATTCTGGATAGAAAGATCTATTTTTTTAAAAAAAATTTTAAACAAACTTTCTCATTTTCTTAAACTTGTAAAGCAAGTACACAGAACATAATTTAATCTTACATAAAAATAAAAAATAACTAAGGGTAAGCTTGTTTCCCCTATTGGACCACACATGGTAAATACTATTACTAAAACTAGGAACTCACCATTGAGAGGTAAATGAGATAATCCCGCCACCTCCTACTATTAGTTGATATATCCATCTTTATACTGTTAACTAATGGAATATCCTATAACTGTAGGCTTCTCCTCTGTAAATATTTTACTATATTTTAAATAGCAAAAATAATGTGTTGCTGGTATTTCTATTACACTTGCTCTCCAGTGGGTATGTAAAGAGTAACAGTAAGGGAAATGGGAAATGGCCACAATGCAGACCTCACTTCAAGCCAGGAAAAACAGAGAGAATAAATAGCATAAATTCAACAATCCTGTGAATTAAGCAGGGATTTTTTTTTTTTTTTCCTTTTTATTGTGATTTGGGTGAAAGTTTACAGAGCAAATTCATTTTCCATACAGCAGTTCATACACATTTTGTTTCATGCCATTGACTGTAATCCCCACAATGTAACAGCTCTTTTCCCACTTCCTCCCTGTAGTTACCTCTTCTGTGTCCTTCTTTCCTATGCATTCTTGCTCCCTGAGCTATCTTCAAAGTGCAAATACTGCCCTTTTGTTCCTTGATTGGTCGCTCTAAGGGGTATATCTACCTGATATAAATGTTCACCTTATATTCCCATCTATTATTTGTCTAGAAGCCATGGGAGTGAGTTCAATTCCAGATCTGAAGGGTAACTAAGGGCCACAGTCTAGGGGGTCTCACCGGGCTCTAACAGACCAGTAACCCTGATTTTTTTAATGATTTTGAGTTTTTTCACATTGTCCTCCCACTCTATCTAGGATCTAAGCAGGGATTTTTTTAAATTACTTTTATTGTGGTGAAAACATACACAAGACATTAGGCAACATTACAACTTCCCCATTTACAGCTCAGGGACATTGATGACATTTTTCATGTACTACCATTATTGCTATCCTTTTCCAAATATTCCACCACCACTATCATAAACTCAATGTCTTGCAAACAGAAGCTTCCCCTTTCCCCTCTCCCTCCTATCCCTGCTAACCAATAATAATCTTTGGTTTATCTACCTACCTACCTACCTATCTAATCTATCTCAGGGAATATTTTAGAAAGCAATGTTACAAGTTAGTTTTTTCTCACCAACTTCATTGAGATATAAGTTACACAGAAGAAAATGCACCCAATTCAAGTGTATAGTTTGATGAATTTTGACCTGAATGAATGTATGCATCTGTTTACCCCAATCAAGATAGTTAACATTTCCATCACCCAAAAAAGTTTCCTAGTGACCTTATGCAGTCAGTTCCCTCCTACTCACTGATCTATTTTCTATTAAAGATTAATTTTGCTTGTTCTAGAACTTCATATGAATGAAATACATACATATGGTGGCTTTTTTTTTTTTTTTTTCCTCAGCATGTTTTAAGTTTCATACAGTGTTGAGTATTTGAGTAGTTTGTTCTTTTATTACTGAGTGATATTCCAATGTATGGATATATCACAATTTGTTTATCCATTCTCCTGTTGACAGACATCTAGGTTGTTTCTAATTTTTTACCATTATTAGTAAAACTACTATAAAAGTTGTGTGATTATATGGTAATGTATATTTAAAAGAAATTGCCAGTTTTCTAAAGTAGTTGCAGAGTTTTTAGATTCTTAGTAGGAATGTATTAGAGTTCTAGTTACTCATGTCATTGCTAACATTTGCTATCTTCTTTTCAGTTTTAGCCATTCTGGTGGGTTTGTAGGAGCTCTGGTGATGCACAGGTTAAAGCATTTGGCTGCTAACCGAAAGGTAGACAGTTAGAACCCACCAGCTGCTCCTTGGGAGAAAGGTGAGACAGTCTATGTCCATAAAGATTTACAGCCTTGGAAACCTAATGGGGCAATTCTACTCTGTCCTAAAGGGTTGCGAGTAGATGAGTCCTCGGAATTTACTCCAAGGCAGTGGGTGTGGTGGGTGTGTAATCGTGGTTTTAATCTGCATTTCTCTGACAATTAATGATGTTTGACACTTGAGCTGAAATTTTGGTTATACACACATGTATTTTCCAAATGTCACAGAACATAATAGTCTCTAGGAATACATTTAGTATGGTTTTTGCATCTGTATTTCCATACTACATTATTTTACAGAAGATTATAGACTTCTAACACTATAGCTGCAGAAAAAGTTCAGTCTATGAAGCTAAATATGACTTCCAGGTAAAATGTCACTATAGGACATACAGTATTTACATTTACCAGCTGCCGGATGGAGCTATAATGCTGCCACCTCTACTGCCACCATCCGGTAATGTTAAAACAAAGAGATACCACAGAATTACACTTCTTAATCAAGAAAAGTCAAATTTCCAAATTCACCTTTTTTTTCCTCATGTACACATCTTTGAAAGTATAGAATGCACATAGATTTCTTCTTTAGTTGTAAATACTTTTAAAAAAGTTACATTACAAACGTATCAAGTAGGAAAGTATTTTAATATTCCCAAATCCAGGGAAAATAGTTTATGAAGTATCTCGTCTTCTATTTTTTGCAAGACCTTTGATAAATTACTTCAACGCTCTATAGATATCCTATCTCGAGGATAGCTGAACTATTTCCTAATTCAAATCGCAGACTGCTAGACCGAAAAAAAATATAATAAAAAGCACGTGTGCCCGTACTTACTAGTCCCTCACTGCAGTGTCCAGATATTCTCTGGGTTATGCAATAACTAACTGCTGTCCGCTACTCAGAAATGTTAACTCCAGTCCTTTCATTGACTCCTCTCCCCGCCAAAGCAGCCACCAGATCACTAGCCAGCCAGTTTGCAGCTGTGGATAGCTGGCCACGATAAGGAAGAGCTAGACTTCTCCCGGCCCTTTGCCCATCCACTGATTCGAGGTCTCTCTCTCATTTGCTCTTCCTCCGGGTCGCCCGCTCTGCACTATCGAAAACCATCAGGAGCTTAGCGGAGCCGGCGCCGAGCCCCTCCCCGTCCCCAGCCCCACGGGGTTGCACCTGCCAAGGTCCCGCCTGCTCCTCCCACACACCAGCCCGCCGGAACCGGGGACGGCGGGGGGAAGAGGGTGTCTTAGTGGGATCTTGAATGGGCTCCCTTTCTTAAAGGCCCCTCACACTGAGCCGCCCCGCTGGCACAGGGCGCGGGCGCTCTGGCTGCGGCCACCCACCTCGGGATAGCCAAATCCCCACCCCAAAGCCCCTCGACGGCCCTGCAGCTCACCGGCTTCGGCCCGCGGGGAGCCCTGCAAGAGGGGCGTGCTGTCTGCGCCCTCATCGCCGTCGTTTGGGGCCAGGCTGCGGACCGGGGACCTCATGACGCCTCCGGTGAACACGTGTGTTCGCCACCGGAAAGAAAGAAAGACTTGGGCCGGGCAGCCGAAGCCCCGGGGCCAAGCCGGCAGAACTGGGCTTGAGTGCTAGCACCGGCGCCGCCCTCGGCGCTAGAACCGCCCCTCGGCCCCGTTGCGTCACCGCGGCCCCGCCTAGAGGCAGCTGGCTGACTCGGTCCTCGCCGCCATCTTTGGTTCGGGCAACTCTGAAGTGGCTTCGGTCGGGGAAGGGTGGTCCTGGGGGTTCCGGCGTAGTGTTGGGTGGTCGGAGTTAGTCCGCCCTGCGGTCTCTAAGCTAGCAAGGTGGTCGATGTTCTCGGGCATGATGAACTTTCCTCTTTCATCCCCTTGTAGAGACCTTTACTAAATAAAGTTCAAGCACCTCTCTGGGAGCTATGGAGAGTGGGAGTCCGGAAGCGGACAGCAGGGATTTGACTAGTGCATAACCGGGGAGGACTTGGGCCGAATTTGGGAAGTGGATCGTGTGTATTTGACTATCAGTTACCAGTATTTACTTGCCATGACTGTTAGCAACCCTGATTCTGCTCACCTCGTGGTGGCATATTGTCCCTAAAATAGTTTTGAGGTGGAAAAACAGTAAATGGAAACATTAAGCTGAATCATATGAAATTGCCAGTTTTGTAGGTCAAAACAATCCAGTATTGGCAATATCATATGGTTTAACCCAGAGAATCTTGATAAGCGTGTGCTAGTCTCCATAGGTCTAATTCAAACAGCTTCCTCTGGTATTTGCTGACCCTGAGAAAGAGGAACTAAGAAAATAGACGAGACTGTCTTTGTGGGCAGATCTGAAGCCGCTGTTCACGCAACAGGCTAGGATGGGTAATACAGGCCTGGAGATCGCAAGAAAAATAAGATGTGGTAGGTGCCCTTGTAGACGTTGGTGTAGACGGGGAAGATTCAGCCACCCAATAATAAACCGGGCAAGTCTCAGGTCCAACAGGAGCAAAGAAAAGGGGCCTTTCACCAATGGGAGGGTGAGGAGGACTTCTGAAGGCATCCCTAACCCCACAAATCAGTACTTGCCAGAAATACTTTAAAACCCCAAAACCCACTGCTGCCAGTGGATTTTGACTTACAGTGACGCTATAAAATAGTGAGGGTGCTCTGGTGGCACAACGCTTAAGGTATTCAGTTGCTAACCAAAAGATTGGTGGTTTGAACCCACCACAGCTCCAATGGAGAAAGATGGGATAGTATGCTTCCAGAAAGATGTACAGCCTTGGAAACCCTTTAGGGGGAACTTTTTTTTTTTTTTTTAATTGTGATTTGGGTGAAGATTTACAGAGAAAATTCACTTCCATACAGTAGTTCACATACACTTTGTCTCATGACATTGACCACAGTTTACCACAATGCAATAGCTCCCCTCATCTTCCTCCCCATAGTTACCTCTTCCCGGTTCCATCCCTCCGTACTCTCCTGCCCCGTGAGCTGTCTCCCTGTGCATAAGCAGCCCTTCTTTCTCCCATGATTGTTCTCTCCAAGGAGTGTATCTACTTGAGGTAAATGTACAACTCATATTCCTATATTTTGTTTGGCTGGAAACCACACGTGTGGGTTCAGTTCCAGACCTGAAGGCCAGCTAGGGGCCATAGTCTCAGTGCTTCCACCAGGCTCTATCGGACCAGCAAACCTGGTTCCCCCTTTTTTCCTCCAAATGATTTTGAGTTTTGTTCCACATTGTTCTCCCTCTCTATCAAGGATGTCCTACATAGATCCCCTTCCAAATGGATGACATTGGTAGCCAGGCACCATCTAGTTCTTCTGGTTCATAGTCGTATAAGCTGTAGATCGGATGGTGAACCAGTTGCTAGGACTAATTGTTTCCATGAATTTTTGGTTTTCTTCATTCTTCTTTGCACTGGATGAGGGAGAGACCCATCGTTGCATCTAGATGGCAGCTTGCTAGCTTTTAAGATCCCAGTCGCTACTCGCCAAGGTAGGAGGTGGAACAATGTTTTGTATAGTATGTTGAGCTTGATGTCCCCTGTGACTATGGTCCTAAGCCCTTAGGTTCAACTACTTGATATCTCTGGGTAGCTGGTTGTGACCAAGCAGTGACCACAACCTTGCTAGGGGGAACTTCTACTCTGTCCTGTAGGTTGCTATGAGTCAGAATTCACCATGGCAGTGGGTTTGTGTAGGACAGACTAGAACTGCCCCACAGGGTTTCCAAGGCTGTAATCTTTTTCCTGGAGTGTCTAGTGGGTTGGAACCACCAATCTTTTGTTAGCAGCCCAGCGCTTAACTACTGTGCCACCAAGACTCCTTTCAGGTTTCTGAGTTCCTAACAGTACCATGTAGATTTTAAATACTCTGAGGGGGCACTATAGCCTTCTACTAGTCTTTTAGAGCAGTACCAGTCAGACACCAATATGCCAACAATCACCTGGGAGATCTTGTTAAAATGCAGGTTCCCATTCAGCAGGTCTGGCAGTGAGCCAGATTCTGCACTGACAACAAGCTTCCAGGTGACCCTACTCGAAATATTAAGGTTATAGAGAAGGAGAAGGGGAGTTGGGAATAAAGATTCCAAGTCCTGATAGGTCTGTTTCAATTAAAAAAATGAGAAAGTCTTTTTTAGAAATACTTTTTCTTTTTACTTGAGAAGTTTTAGATTTACAAAAAAGTTACAAAGATAGTACAGAGGGTTCCCCATATCCTTTGCCTAGTTTGACCTGTTATTAAGATCTTACACTAGTATGCTACATTTCTCCCCACTGATGAACCAATATTGACACATCATTATCATCTAAAGTCAGTACTTTATTTGAATTTTTAAGTTTTTGCCTAATGTGCTTTTTCTGTTGTTATGTCTCCTTAGGCTCCTTGAGACGGTGACAGTTTCTCAGACTTCCCTTATTTTTTGATTACCTGGGCTTTTTTGTAGTCTACTGGTCAGATTTTGTAGAATGTCCTTCAATTTGGATTTGTCTGATGGTTCTCTTATAATTAGACTAAGGTTATGCATTTTTGGGAGGAAGACCACAGAGGTAAAGTGCCACACTCATGTAATTTCAAAGGTGTATGCTATCAATATACACTTATCACTGATGATGATCACATAGTTGAGATGGTGCTCGTCAGATTTCTCCACCGTAAAGTTACTCCCCCTACCGCCTTTCCATACTGTACTCGTTGGAAGGAAGTTAGATGCATAGCCCACAATTAAAATGTGGCAAATTATGATCCACCTCTTTGAGGAGGCAAAATTCTGTACACGAGATTTGTGTAGTCTTCTCCATTTAGTCAATCATTTATTTATAGTAGTGTAAATATTCATAGATATTTATATTTTGGGTTCTAATCCATTACTACATTGTTTATGTTGTTATTTAAGTTGCTCTATCTTTGGCCACTGGGAACTCTTTTAGTCGGTGCCTGTGTTCCTTTTACACCCATCCATCATTGTGTTTTTTGAGCACTCTTACTTTCTGGTCCAAGATGTTCCAGGCACATCTTATATATCCCCTGCCTCTGCTATTTCTCCAAGGACAATGGTAGAGACCAATCTGGACCCTAGGCAGTGTTGGATTACGCACTAAGCATAGTAAGTGCAGGTTTATTTGTGCTTATTTACTAATCTGTAGTGAACAATTCGTATTTTTTCACCTCATCAAAGATTCTGCTTCTAGGTATGGTAGACATCTGTCTGTTCCCCAATCCCACAGCATCTTCCTGTGGAACCCAAGCTTCTTTTCAAATTTACAATCCCTGACAGATGGAGTACCCAGTAAGCAAGGTAAGCATGGGCTTAACTGTGCGTACTTTCTAATCTGTAATTTCAGTGAATAAACATGTGAAACGTCCCTATAGTAAGTAAACTCAACTAAGCCTGCCTGTGTTTACTTACTAGTGTGTAGTTTCACAGTAAATAATATGTGAAATTTCACTATAGATTAGTAAGTAAGCAAAATTAAGCCCATGCTTACCCTTTTTACTGGGTGCTTAGTTCCCGGCACTAGATGTGCTTGTTGCTACTATGATGTGGTTACTTCAGAGCCCATAGGGAGGACTTTTGTTTTTGTTTTATGATCTTCTTTCCAAGAAGATTTTAAAAAAAATATAAGATGACACCTTTTTCTTCCTTATACATGGCATCTAATAACTGGCTGCACCAAAGAAGGTTGTTGTTGATGTTATTTACTTATTTATTTTTTTTTTTATGGCTAAATACTATTCAATTATAAGTATATACCACTTTGTTTATCAGTTTATCCTCAACATTAGTTGAGGGACATTTAGGTTGTTTTCTATTACATTTGTAAGAAGAAAAATCAACAGCTCTGAGGCTGTTGGTGGGCATCTATCCCTTTACTGCTTTTTAGCCCTTCTCTCCTTTTAGTTTCTTTTGGAAATGTACTTACTTCCAATCCAGCCTAAATCCCACCTATTGCCATTTTAATGCTGCCCTTCTTGTCACCATATAATTCTTGATAGTTCCTTTTTTTACACACAGTGTTTAATAGAAATATGATGTTAGTCACATATATAACTTAAAATTTTCTAGTAGCCACATTAAAAAAGTAAGACCAGGAGAAATTAATCTTATAATATACTTTATTTAACCCAACATATAAAAAATATCAATTCAACATATATTTAATACAAAAATTATTAACAAGATATTTTACTTTTTTTTTGATGCTAAATCTTTGAAATCCAGTGTATATTTTACAGTTATGGTACATCTGCATTGGGAGCTGGTAGTGTAGTGCCTAAGGCATTTGACTGCTAACCAGAAGGCTAGCGGTTCAAACCCACCAGCCACTCCTCAGAAGGAAGATTGGGCAATCTGTTTCCATAGAGATACCACCTTGTAAACCCAAGGAGGGGTTGCTTTAGAACTAGCCACGTTTCAAGTACTCAACAGTCACATGAGGCTCAGGCTACCATGTTGGACAATATAGTTTAGATACAGTTTGGACAACATAGTTTTAGAAACAAGCATGTGAGTGTTT